GCTCTTAAGAAGTTGAATGATTTGCAACTATTGATCACATTTCAGGAGCAGACAATCATGGACTGGTCCTTCCATCTTCCTTTCTCCACAAGTAATGTAAGCAGTGCGTAGAGACTAAACAACAAAAGAGATGGCAAAAACTAGACACAGCCACTTAATAGAATGGACGGGCTTCAGCAGTATCTGTTTAATGCTTTTTTAAAAGACGGGCCATAATTTCCCTATTCTAACATTCTCTTACAATGTCTCCAATAACCAAGCCACATACTTTTTCTAAATTAAAAATTAAGAAGCATTTCACTCTAACACTTATGCCCAGATGCAGCAGATGACCTTCTCTGAGGCCACAGAATTCTGACACTTCTCTGTCATGGGAGATCAGTCACTCCTAAATGAAAAGACACAGTAGAATTGGATGCCCTTGTAGGAGGCTGACTGGAAGGAAGCACATCCAGAGTCTCACAGGACATTTTAATTATTTAATATATTTATTACAGCATCACTAGTAATGCTCTACGAAGCCCAACTAGCATTGACAACACAGAGATAGTCTCTTCAGGAACCCATATATTCATGAGAACTGGGCCATTTTCTACATTCCTACATTTTCTAAATTACCATTAAAAGTTCAACTGCACTGGCTAGAACAGTACAAAGTGCAATATACTGACATTCTTCCTGAGAGCAACTTAGTTGCTATATTTTTCAAATTTTTAGATAAGCCAATAAATATATGCATAATACCCCAAAGGTTCAGTGTTTTGTTCACTATATACAACAGAACAATTATTTAAAATTTCAGCCACTGCATGACTCCCTTAGTACTGTTGCCATTACACTACCTGGGCTAAGCCATGGTTTGACTTAGTGTTAGTCAGAGCTCAGATCATGGTTTGTCTCATTCTATGAGCTGAAACCAAGAGCTGGGGAAGACAAATCACAAGGCTGTGTTCAGAGACAACACTGAGCTAAACAATAAGGAGCACAGCAGCAGCAACACAACAATCTTCTCTCCAGAAACCCACATGTGTTTGATCATGCTAAACTATAGTCTAGCTTAGCATTTCATGCCAAGTGGCCCACTAAATTAAGAATATACATTGAGTAACATTAGCCACATTTTAAAATTGAAAATATCATGTTAGTTTCTAAGAGGAAAAGGTGTGCACTACGATACTTTAGAGACAGAAATGAAAGGCTTAGGTCATAATAAATCAAAGCTGCATCAAAATAATTTGATGATGCTTGCTTCCTTTAGATATAAAACTAGAACAAGAAATCAGAAGAGACAATTCCTTGTCACCTCACCAGGGAGTTTAGTTTGCCTGGTTCTTCATGCTGTTCTTTTGGATGCCATCTTAAGCCTGTTATGCTCCCTTTGAGTTACTAACCAGGCATTCAGCCAGAGAAGCAGCTTCCTGTAACAGTTGACAACATCGCTTAACAGCACTCTATGACAGATATGACTATCAGTCTTCCACACATCTTGCTAAATGAGCCTGACTAAAGTTCAAGGAATTCCCCCACCAAAAAAAAAACCCCATCACAGAATTTTGCAGCATTCCTGTACAATACATTGCAATTCTCTGTATAAGCTCCAGACAAACATCTTTTTCCTGCAAGTACCAAGGTAGCAAATGAAGCAGTAAATTACATGTTCATAGATGGCATACAGAAGTAGCTTACTACTGTATCTAGACTGTTCAGGAAATTAATTCACCACAGTCACAGCTTCTTTCTGCTAACAAGGTTAACAATCATCTGACTGAAGCATTAATACAAACCACAAAATAAGAGACCAAACAACTGTCAGACATATTTGCTTAGCTCCCCTACCAAAAAACAAAACAAGAACGGAAGATTGACTGCTGAACTAACCAGTATCCACTGAAGTCCTTTCTGATTACATGTTTGAGCCCAGGTACATTCATGAGCAAAGAACACCAGATAACAAAGAATAAGATGGATGAAAGGGACTTTGGAGAGCTAGCAAACGTTATTTTTTTAAAAAGGAGACGAAGAGCTATTTTGCTTTACCCAAGTCTTCATCTCACACAGATGAGAAGTGAGATACCAGCTCTTTTCAAGCGGTTAAACTGAGAGCAAGACATTCTAGGCAGATTGAAACAAACTGCCCGAAACTTCAGGGATGGGAAAATCAGAGAGCAGTTACTGAATTACTACAGTATTTCATGATATCATAACAAACTACTTGAAGGTATGGTTCACAGTAGGAGTGGGGAAAACCTTTTTTTTCCATTGGGTTTGCATTCCCTCATGGGGAACCTTTCAACTAGTGGGTGCAACCAGAGGCAAAATATGTTTTGCATTGTAGGCTGCCTTTCAGCAAGAGAAACCATCTAAGCAAGCAAGAGGCTTTTTCACAGTACCATTCCAGCCAAGTCAAACCATTTGAGGAGTGGGGTCAATGGGAGATGTAAGACTAAAAATTGCAGTGACTGGTGTTTGAGAGCCAGCCATTAGACCCCTGAGTCTGAGATTCCCTATCCTATTCTTGGGTATCTTTTGTTAGGGTTGGGTGAAGCTCACAATAATATATCAATTTAATAGGAGATGAATGCATTAAAAAGATGAAAGTAAACTTATGAGAAATTAAAATTCTGGTACATAAAAGCTACTGGTCTAAACAGTACTTGAGCATAAAGGACATCTTGCTGGCTTCCCAGCAGGACAATTTGCAATGTATTTAATATGGGAACTGAAACCAGATAAGTCCTTGTTGTGGAATGATTAGCATTTTCCAATGGCAAGTCCTTGCTAAATCAATTTTAAATTAATAAAAGAAAAATTCACATCCTGGTTAAATGCATCCCACACAAAACTAGAGTTAGTTCCTTAGTAACAGGAAAAGAATCATCTGCTGGTTGTTCTCTCAGATGTCTGCAACAGTGGGGAGCTATTTACCGGGAAGGGGAAATCCTTCCCCATCACCACTGGGCTAAATAACTGCCCAACATAAAATGGAATAGTCTCAGGTGGAATATACAGAAGAGCCTCAACTCGACCAAAACTGCAAGATTCCCTCAATTACTGCAAAAAGGGAAATATCATCTTTCTGCCTTGATTACATTAATCCAAAGTTCAAATTCCCATAGCCTTATGCTTCACTGACTTCTTATGCTGACATTTTTTTAAACAAACAGGTAAATTATCCTGTGCCCCTTGATAGAAAGATACAATACAAGACTGACTGATAAATAAAAGAGGGGAAAGATCTGAAACAGCTATTACTTTACATACTGGGAAAATGAATACACAGCCTGTAAACATTAAATACATCCCAAGTGCAAGAACATGTCAATCTGATTGAAGGATGTTTTTAAGGATATTCATACATTCACTATCAAAAATAATGCAAGTATCACAGACAATTCCTAATTAGTATCACAATTATCATATTTTCCTGCTTTTACAGTAACTCTTGTACAAGAGCATGCGGCCAATATTCTGAAGTTAATTACTATATATTTTATATTAAAGGCAAATATGAAAACTTGTTTTTTCCTTTTTCAGTGAAAATATGCCTGAAATATGCACTTCAATTCATTTAAAATTACCACAGTACTGTATTCACTACACCAATCTTTTTCAAGGATTATACATTTTAAACAAAAAAGTCTTGCCCTAGAACTCTCAAAACAAGCAACAAATTCTCCCTACCAGTCACAATTTATTATGTTATCATCTGAGTTACTTACTTTAATAATTACAATTACTTATTGCAATAATTTTTACCACCGATATAAAATAATTTTATGTCAGCATGCAAGTATGGAGTAAATCTCTATATGTCTACTCAAAAAAGTTCCATGGAACTTACTCCCAGAAAGAATAGGATTGCACTCAGAGAACATTTTTTATCTTACCGTTATCACAACTGTAACAAAGATCAAACTCTGCCTAAAGGTGGGATCAATTAATGTGTGTGTGTGCATGCTTTTTTCCCATGGTTGTCCAAGCAGAACACAGCACATGAATATAAGAAGAGCCTGCTGGATCAGGCAAATGGACCATCTAAATCCAGCATCCTGTTCTCACAGTGGCCAACCAAATGCCTGTGGTAAGCTTGCAAGCAGGTCCCTTGGTGAGGAGAACTCTTCCCTCCTGTGGTTTCAAGCAAATGGTGTCAACCAATATTGTTCTCTCCCTTCTCTGTCCTGTACTCAGCCCCAAAACACTGTCCAGAGTTTAGGATTGCTCTGTAACAGTGAGGCTACAGTGTGAGGCAAGGAATCCCCAAGGGAGGCATCCACTCGCACAAGACAGCTCTTCCTGATTTGGGCTGATTCTACCCTATAGGCACACCAAGCAGCAGCCTGAGGCTTGTTCCCTACAGATCCCCTTCATTTACAGCCTGAACAAAAAAGGGAAGAGAATGCAAATATGTCCATGTCTTCTTTTAAAAAATAAATAAATCCAAAATTGAAGCTTAAACTTTCTGAACAGTTGTCTGTGATCAATCTTTTGACATTCAGAGTTAGGTTGACAAAAAGTGGATGAGAACCTAATCAAATTATACTTTAAATCAAAGTTTATACATGTGTGTGCTTTGGTTAGCAGCCCTAAACCTTTTGTAATGGAGATTGCTAAACACCTAGAAAAAACTGAGATGATGCATAATAGAGTCCAACAAATAATTAATCATACTAAATATCTGGAGTTTTGGTAGCAGCCGGGCTACCAGAAAATGCATCTGAACACAACTCCAGTTGATCAGTCTCAGTCTAAACTTACTAAATGTGACCACAGAGTGATTTGGTCTGGAGTAGTCTTCACCAACGGATAGTACATTAGCATGATTCTTTAAAGGCTACAGCTGCATTACAGTCAACTCCTAAATAGCCATCTACAACTCTAAGCCCAACAAAATAACCTTTGTAAATTTTATCAACTTCTTCATCTCTGACTTCATCAATATTTCCCACAGAAAGAGCAAGCCCCAGACAAACAGGTTGGAACATGGAAATAAGTACACTCACCGAAAGATAGCTGCTAACATCCACGTTATCTGTGATGGTCTGACGTTCTCCCCTCTGATTAATCTTCCTAAACCTCCGTCGAGATTGTCGGAGGGGCACTTCCCTTTGCAGGATGTTGTCTTCATTCTCTTTCGAGTTATCCACCTGGAACACATGTTCAGGATCCTGATTAAACATCCAATTCTTCCATATCATTGAAAGTCTGTGTAATCTTAAAAAACTCATGAGAAAAAGCTCAACGTGAGCTAGTAACGTCTGGGGAAGTTTATCTGAAGGCAGCCTACTGCAAGATCCTGAAACTAGAGCTACACGTCTTCAGCAGTGTTATTACAATGAGTTGGAAGGCCACAATTTCCTTCCCGGAAAGAGCTCCCCCCCCCCCTAAACTAAGCAAGACTACCTTACCAGCAATAAAAAAACTATTCATTGAACTCAGACTGTTTAAAATTAAAACAGTTGCATAGTCACAGGGTAAAAGTTGTCAGTTTGATAGTTACATATTAAACTACAACCTCAACATACACAATTTGCTCTCTTCCACTCACCAATGTTCCAATACCTCAAAAACATGCAGCAAAACACTTTTTTAAAAAAGTCCTGATGCTCCATAGATCAGATTGTTAAAACCTTAGCTGCAGCTATAATGTGACAAGGCTAACTTTTTGAAACAACATTTTGAACCATATTACAGTAGTTCAGGCTGAAAGCTTACTGCCCTTCATGATCATTTAGTCTATAAAAAGCAAGTCCTATCTTCATATTTCCTTTTGAAATCTCAGCAGGAAACAACACAGACAGACACATATATACAAGAAACAAGTGGCAACAGTGTCTATTCAGTATTTCAACTGTATATTACATGTAAGTGTGTACCAAGGGAAGGAATTAGTTTATCACTGCAACTGGCTGGCATGTAAAAAGAACTGAGAAATTAGCAAGGAACATTTGCACTTAAAACACTTATAGAAGGTTCATTTTCAAACTGGAAAAAAGTCTTACGATCCTCGTCTACCAACGCAAGTGATCCACTGCACTGAAAAACACACAACTCACACAGGTATCAATATTTGAAAGAATTAGATCATTCAGCAAGGGTAGAAGCCTATCAAGGTTGTGCACAATAAATTTCAATGGATTTCAAAGAAGATTAAAGCAGCTACTTAAATTTCTCTCACTGAAATCAATGGACCTTAAAGTATGGGTAGGCTGTACCAAAGAATATTTATAATAGTTATTTGAGGAACAATATATCTGAAGAAATGTAGCCGCCCAGAGTGGCTAGGGAAACCCAGCCAGATGGGTGGGGTATAAATAATAAAATTATTGTTGTTTTAGATGTGTTTATGTAGTTATGAGAATATTTCTACATGGAATGTAGAAAATGATTACAAAAATTATATTCATTCCTAGTCACTGGCATGATTCTTATTTGTTTTCTTCTGATTCTTATCTTTTCCAGCCGTTTGTGCACCGAGCAAGCAAAGGCACTTGACTGTCTTCATATTTACAAATACTTTAGATGTGATTTTGCGCAGTATGATGATGTCATTATCTCATGCCAGAAGCTGTTCTGGTAGTGACGACTGAGTACAAAGTTTTTTTTTAAGTATGTAAGAGATTACAAAGTACAGGTTACTACACTTCATGGATCATACACATTACAACACACACACACTTTTTCAAGTCTATTATTCTTCAAGCCTGCTGGTATGTTCCTTTTTTGTGCTTATGATGCGATATAAGGCACAAAGACTGGCACTTGTGAAATGAGTTCATTGTTTGTATATAGTAGAGGTGCCACAGAGGCCTTCCCTGGCACCTGCAGGTTCTTAATCCCCTGCTGAAAATAGGCTTGAGAGAAGAATTCTATTGTAGCTAAAATAATAGGCTGTGGTGTATGGTAGTTTATTTGGGGGCGGGGGTGCCCAAGACAGCGTCTCTTATTTGCATATGTCCCTGACAGCTAAAAAGCTTGGCAACCACCAATATATATCAAAACATTTTCTCCAAGCTCACTCTGTAGTTCACCAAATCTAGAATCCCCAAAACCACTTCTAGTACTTTACTATCTGAATAGAAAATGTCATTGCCATGTAGCCCAAACCCTTTGAAAGACTAAAAATATCTTAAGCTCATAGGTTTTTCAGTGAGAGCTGTGGACTCTCAGTACCTTCACAATCAAGCACTATTATTCTGTTCACAAGTGGAAATATATCATAGTTTTTAAGGAAATTATGGACCTATGCAAAGCAGTTTTCCAGTTGAAACAAGGTTTTTTTATACACAACACAGGCTGAATACTATGAAAGCAAAAGGTTAAGTATGTTTGTTACCCAAAAGGCAAATACAATGAACTGCTAGCAGGAACTATAGTAACTACGCCCACCTGCTTCCTTCAGATATTGCCAGTACTATGCAGTTGAAAAATACAGTCAAAGGAACTGAGAAATCTCTATAAAAAACAGCTTTTGTTGACAATTTCTCTTGCTTTCTATACTACAATGCTTCTTAGGCAGAGTAACTTCCAAATTTAACAAAAAACTAACCAATAAAGCATTCCATACAAGAAAGCTGAAATCATACAGCAGAATAAAGCAACAGTATAACATTTCTAAAAACAAAGACAGCAAAGGACATAGCAGTAGCCGCAACAATTCTAAAAATGGGCCATTAGCAATGGCAACCAAAATCAAGGGTAAATGCATTCAATTGCACTAGTTGCCTCAATAGGCATCCAGGTGGCAAAATGTGCTATGCAAAGTTGTAAGCCTAGATGGCAAAGCTCCATTGTTTAGGCCAAGGGTGGGCAGCCTGTGGTGCTAGGTCTAATTTCATGCAGGTGACAAGCAAGTAAAAAAAAAAGGAGGGGAGAGGTGGCAGGGAGAAAAGAAAACAACTTGGCTTGGGCCCTGCCCACCACTGGCATGGAACCCTGCCACCCAGCCTAAATGCAGTCCTTGAGAGAAAAAGTTCCCCTCTCCAACCCCACCCTGCTTGAATCAAAGTCTGAAAGAGCCATGCATTCAGTCTGATAGGACAGTAGTGAGCCCAATGTGTCACCCAGTATTACTTCCCATTCCTCTTACTTTTAAGGCCAGAATGCATACAGAGAGCAAAAGAAATATTTTATTTGTTTAGTGCATTTGTACCCCATACTTCAGCCAAAAAAGGCTCTCAGACTGGCTTGCAATACAATCAATTAAACCAAGACATGAATACTGTTCCCTGAGCACAACAGATAGGGCCACCTTCTGTGCTACTTTCCCTGCCTTCTGAGGGCTGGGGGGTCAGGAGGATAGCAGTCTGCATTTTGCATCCTTCAGTGCTGCAAACAGAGCAACTACAAGTTGCTCCCCCAAAGAAACAAAGAAGTGTTTGCGTATGACGGTAGCAGAAGCCATCTGCGAGGAGTAATCAGAACGCCAGGTTGCCAAAGGGAAAGCCACCATGACTTTTAATATGTTGGTATTAAAAAGTGATAGAAATAAAAACCCAATATAAGGAATGCATCCTGTCTTCCCATTGTGCACAATTACTTTCAGAACAAAAAGGAGCACATTTCCAAGAGACAACATCAAAATTTATGGGCTCATTCCTCTCCGTTACAGATGCAGACAAGAAATATATCCAAGAATCAAAAGGCTGGATCAAAGAGTAATACCAAAAAACCCCCACAAATGACCAAAAAAATATGGTGACTGCTGTAACAGATTTGAGTTCAAGGAAGCAATGGCTTAAAGTGACCCATACAAAGGCAATATTCCATGTAAATGTCGCTAACAATACAGCCGCAGAAAAAATAAGGCGGTTGATATTTTCAGTAACATCTTACATGATCCAGCTTTAACCTAAACTTTCTGGCAATACACAAAAGGAGGGGAAAAAAAAAGAAAATAATAGGTCATAGGTATATATCAAAGCATCAGCACTGGGCAGTAACCATTAAAACAACTTCAAAAGCTCAGGTTTCATAAGCCATATCTTAGGTTTTTAAAAATGAAAGGCTTTTTTTTTAAGCAAAGCTCTTTATAAAATAGAGATTAAGATCCAGAGAAAGGAGGGTATTTTATTTCTGAACTGCTCTTACAGTTTAGCAGCTTAATCCATTTTTCTATACAGTACTGCAGATGGGAAGTTCCTGCCCACACTCAGTGAATGTGCTGTAGAATTCCATTTCAGTATCTTTTTAAATATTTCAAAGTGGTCAAGATGTCTTGCTTCAATTCCCAAGTTAAGTGTACACATGCATACATGCACACACACATCTCTCAGACTACACAAAGATATATGACATTTTACAAGTTCCAAAGCAAATAGAAGTTATGAAGCGCTAGGTGTGTCAGCCTCCACCAGCCTGGTACCCTTGACCTTGAGGTCATCTCTGACCATTAACCATGCTGACTCTGGCTGGAGGGCATCAGTTTGGGGCGGCTAACATACATGTACTAATGAATAACAAAAACAGAATAAAATTAAATAACATCAGAAGTTAGCTAAAGCAGAGGAACATTAGTTATCTGTTTAGACTCGCAGGGGTCAGCAAACCTTTTCAGCCGGGGGCCAGTCCACTGTCCTTCAGACCTTGTGGGGGGCTGGACTATATTGGGGGGGGGGGATTGAACAAATTCCTATGGCCCCACAAATAACCCAGAGATGCATTTTAAATAAAAGCATACACTCTATTCATGTAAAAACACCAGGCAGGCCCCACAAATAACCCAGAGATGCATTTTAAATAAAAGGACACATTCTAATGAAAAAAACATGCTGATTCGCAAACCGTCCGTGGGCCGGATTTAGAAAGTGATTGGGCCTAATCTCCCCCTGGGCCTTAGTTTGCCTACCCATGGTTTAGAGAAAGGAGAAAAGATATCAGAATACCTGTAGAACATAACAGGATTGTGGGCCAGTAGTGGCAAACACACCAACAGTTTAGCTGAGACATATTGAGCATGGTATCCATAATGATAGGGAAGCATTCATTAAGAAGATAACAGTCACTCAGATCATACGTCACAGTAAGCCATAAATCTTGGGTTACCATGAATGAGCAGTGTGCTAAGTGCACACTATTAAATTACTCCCATTTCACTTTCTCCTTCTTGGTGCTGGCAGCAACAAACTAGCACTCCTAGTTTGTTTCTGCCAAACAAGCTGCCACCAGTAAGCCAAGAACAAACCTTGGTTTATTACCATAGTCAGGAGAGGAACACCCCACAGAGTAAGTCAAGACTCATGGGTTTGTTGCTCCTGTTTCCGGGTTTGTTGCTCCTGTTTCCGGAAAATGCACAGCAAGACAGGAGTGCTTCAGCAATATGCACTAGCACACCACTCATTGATGGTAGCCATGGTAAGATTTGTGATAGAATTCTCTAGAACTGCAGCCAAAGTGAACATGACTATTTCAAGGGGGACTATGCACACTGGTTTTTAAAAGTCTATCCTTACCACAATCATTTCAGAAGGCTCCAATACAATACACTCGCAACCTCGTTTTCCTCCAGACTGCTTGCCAAAGCTGAGAAGAAAAAGGAAGAAGGAAAGTATTATTACACATTAATAGTAAACCACAAAATCAAACAGAGTAGGGATGAATTATAGGAATACTAGTAACAGCACACTGTGAAACAGTACCTTTGATTGTATTTCACATGCCTATTAAAGGGGCAATATGTGTTTTTGATGCACCATCACATTATGCAGCTTGTTCAACCATCAGAGATTGTTGTGGCATAGAACTGAGCCACTCCCAAGTGAAAGATGTGAGAAGAGTATTGATGATCCTGTGGGGCATAAGTCCATTAGTTCTTCAGTGATGGAAAGACACTCTTATATGTATATGCTTGGCAGCAATCCTTGGTATGTGGGTTGTAATTATGTTGAGAGGGAGTGGTTTGCCCATGAGTGGCTGCTTGCTAGAGGTACCATATGAAGGAGTGAATGGTCATAGTGGTTATGGGAACAGATAGTGAGAGTGTGGTTGGATGAGTGGCTACATGAACAGTGTGTTTTATGTTGGTTAGGGAGTCTACATTTTTCTGCCTTGTAATGCTTTGCGACTTTCCTGATATGGTTATTATGGATACTGTTCATGTATTTTTAATGTAAATAATTTTACATTGTTTTTATTGCTCTTATTGTGGGTATATATTATGCAAGTGTAGCTACTGTAACCCACTTCAAGATCTAAAGCTATCAAGTGGTCCATACAATGGTACCTCGGGTTACATATACTTCAGGTTACATACGCTTCAGGTTACAGACTCCGCTAACCCAGAAATAGTACCTTGGGTTAAGAACTTTGCTTCAGGATGAGAACAGAAATCATACTCCGGCAGCGCTGGACCACTGTACATGGAAACACAGTAGGATCGCAGCTGCTGCGCATTTAACTTGTAGGGTCACAGCTTGCTGCGCTTGGTGGCAAACCAGCTGATATCACACAAACGCAAGGCAGAGAGCTAAACAGTTCTTTGCACACCAGGTTTTCCTGCAACGGAAAACACTTTTTAGCTCTCTGCCTTGCTTACTGTTCTGGGAAACTCTTGTGCCAAAAAGTAAGATTGTTCGCACAGTAGCTGTTCCTTGGAGTGGTTTTTGACACAATTTTGGCTTTATGCACTAACCGCTCCCCATCATCACCACCACTAGAACCTAACACCCACACAAGACACGACACAACTGTGACGACAACAACAACAACAACAACAACAACAACAACAACAACAACAACAAGCTGTTTATGGAATACAGCTCCAGTGCATGCAAGGAGCCAAAGAACTGGAATAACTGCCTATATGGTATGATAAACACTGTGGTCACTACTAAACACAGCAGAACATCTTAGAGCAAGGGGAAATTCTCTAGTTGGACAGAAAAAACAGAAGTGTCCTTAGGAAATTTTGTTAGTTATCCCCCAGCTGAGGGAGGTGTGAAAGACTTAAAGCTACATTTGAATGTGTGAAGGTTTCCTGGCATATTACTGTATGTTCCCTGCTGATACAGTGTTTATTTTCTTCTCATAAAACACAAGTAATTATTTGCATGGATTTGTCAAACTGGCTTTCATCTACAATAATCAAAATACCACAATCAACAGCTTGCTCTGTGTGATCGCTTGAATCACATGGAATTAGATTTGGTCTCCTTATTGATGATGAAATTGAGAGCAAACATTTAACCACATCTCCAAAAATATGTGAAATACAGCACAAGGAAACCAGGTAAGCGTCAAAGACCTAAGTTAAACAGCAAAGAGTTAAATATTTTGTTTGCTGTAATTCCCTTCCTTTTCTTGAAATTTTCATTATTTATTTAATTGAAAATACCCAATTAATCATTTGACGTTTCAATATCAGGGTAGTGAGAATGCATAATTGTTTGATTATTATGCGTATTACAGAACTTTGTGAGTTATTAAGAAAATCTTATTAGTTCCTAAATATTTCAAGTTCAACTAAGATCTCTTATTCAGGCCTTTTTTCTTTAAAATAGTGTTGTGTAGCCAACACACAACATATATACTCAGATAGTATGAAAATGGGTGTGATCAAGTCTCCATGCAGGGAAACAGTTTAAACTCCAGAATAATTTTTTATTTTAAAAAATTGCCAGAAAATACAGATGTGATTCATCAAGAACAGATGTTTCCTGAAGTTATTCTAAGAATGCCTCAGTTCTTTCAAAATGATAAGTTTTAATACTAAGAGTCATAGTGATAAAGAATTATGATCATGATCAGTAGGAGGCAGGAGCATTGTAATTAGAACTGTCAAATCTCTTTTTAATAATCTATCACAGAACACAGAGCCCTCAAATGTGTTAACTGTACGAAACTTATAAATATGACTAAATGCACCTCTTTGTAACAAAGCACAGGAAGTGAGATTTATATTGAAATAAGCGGGTCAGAGTGGGGATCTCCAAAAGTTGAAATGGTGACAGGACACAGAACTACATTTTATACTAGCAAAACTCAATGCCTTCTGGATTACTCATATGCAGGGGCAGTAGTGTACTTAATCCTTTTTACAAACACAAATTAATCTCTGCAGAAGGATAACTCCACCCTGTTTTTCCAGATTTCTTCTCCTGTTGGTGTCTGGCTAGGAGATAGAAGTAGAAAACCAGCTTGGGTGCCAAGGATGTGCATTACAGAGGCAAGTAGGCAGTACCCAGGTTATACTGTACCATACACTACTCTTGTTGCCAAGGCAAGGGTTACAGAACGGAGCAGGCAGGAATGGAAAAAGTTCAGCACCCCCCACCTGGCAATTCTTGGGATCAAGCTACTCTGAACTCTGAAACTTACTTCTAACAAAACATGTATTGCAAACCTTCCATTAACAAGCTTCTACTGAACAATTCAGGTTTGCAAAAATGTTGCAGTATATAAAATGCAATACTTAAAAACCACAGTAAAATATAGCAAAGCAGCAGCACACATAAGCAGCAACAAGTGAGATAAGTAAAAATGCCCTATCTCACCAAAAACCAGTGCAAAGAGTCTTGACTTGCTGTTAAAACCTATATAATATTGCGGGGGGGGGGGGAGTGCCATAGCTCAGGGGCTACCACTGAAAAGGCAGCCTTGTTAAAGCTTTGTCTCATACTGGACTAAACAAGAAATATGTTTCAAATTGGACGATGTACAGAATTAATGAATGAAATCATAGGATATATATTCCAGAAGCATATTTTCTGAAATTATCAGAAATAGTAATATATACCACATTAACGGTTATTAAAAACCTCAACTGAACCCACTGAAGGTCCCTGTCAGTCAGTGTAGACAATACTGACCCAGAGATAGCATCCTCAGCTCTACTGAACAACTTCAACCTTCAAAAAAATATCAATGCCTTCTTGTTTGAATATTACAGCTCAGTCTGGTGTTTGCAATTAAAAAAATGATCATTGGGAGCAATCTGCTAAGGCATCAAAAAGTTACTATACTAACATGAGCAAAGCTTTCTATTATCATAGAACCTTTTTCAATTAGTACATGCTCTTGCTTCAGTGCATTATTGTGCTCTGTTCCCCATACGCTTTAACCTTTCTTCTACTTCAAGAGAAATGCTCGCGCATATGTATGTGGAAGAAAAAATATTGCATGCATGCTGACACACTAAGCAGGATGTATTTGTTAAGCTTAAACGTTTTTTCTTTCCCTGCTGCCCTCCATGCCCTGCCAACTTAAAAGTTCCTTTTCTTGTGCTTGAGGAAATCTGTTTCTTATCCCCAGTCTCTGTGGTGCTACATACATCTTAAGAAATCTCTCTTTTTTTAGGCCTTTCATTATTAGATTGCAGAAAAGGTTTCATACCTGAGAGTTATTATAATTTATATGACCTTGAAGAAAAACTGCAGTATCTATAGCGCAAACATTTTACTGTTCCCACAAGAAGCAAAAGACAAAAGCCTCCATATTCCATTATTTACCCCTTCAAAAGGCTTAGGCTTCACATAAGTGACAACTATAGGAAATCTACAAGTAATGTCCATAAGGAAGTTCCATAAAATCAGCACTTAGTAGATCACATCCTACATTTCCATGTAGATCTAAGTTTGGGAAATCAACTAAGAGAGTCAACAGGACCACTGGATGGCAAGGAGGTCAAAACAAGATGGCAGAAAATGAATTATTTGCATCTGTCTTCACTATAGAAGGCAGCTTTCTGTGCCTGAACTACCTTTTACAGGAAGGTAGTCTTAGGAAGTGTGGTAAATGGTGGCAAAAAATGACAATGTATCTCAATGAGAGGGTAAAAGAGGCAAGGGAAGGAACTTAGCTGAAGCAGTCCACTCTCAGTGAGCCTCCATGAAGTCAAGCAGCTACAAGTTGAGTGTGGAGCATGAAACATGTGGTGAGGCTCTACAGAGACTGAACAGTCTGAAGCAGCCTTTAAAATATTGCTAAACATAACTGCTTTAGTTTCATCAATTCTTAATTTTAGATTCTCTGTTCATTCCTGATCTTATATTAATTCTGTTTTAATGACGCATTTCATCTTATGGCAGTTTTTGTTGTTTGTATGTTTTTAATTTTGTTTATTTTGACTTAGAGAGCCAATCGATTTTTTGTTGTTGCTATACAGTATAAATAATATTAACAAACAAAGGAGGCACTCCAGTTCTTTTGACAAGATTGGTTTTCAAAAGCATATTTCGTGTCACAACCAGCACAGAAGGATTATATTGGACTCTTAAAATACTACAAGATACCTGAATCCAATGGCATGGCCGGACAATTCAAACCAGTACAGTATATAAAAAGAAACTTTTGTCTGTAGGACTCATTTTTAAAGGGAAAAACTGGTCTGTGCTTCATCACAATCTCTGTGAACTTAGAAGGTCTCAAACAGCAGGTTGGGAGTTCTGTGGACTTCTAAGCTACGAGCACAGAGTAATGCTCAGCAATTCTATTAACAACTACAGTTTTATCTTTTGACTTAGCGGTTGCCTGGAACAAAATAATAAAAGCTGTAATTTATTTCAATTAAACAACATTAAATTTGC